TGGAACAAATAATCCTAAAATTTGTATGGAACCAGAAAAGACCCCGCATAGCCAGAGGAATATTGAAAAAGAAAAGCAAAGCTGGCGGCATCACAATTCCGGACTTCCAGCTCTATTACAAAGCTGTCATTATCAAGACAGCATGGTACTGGCACAAAAACAGACACATAGATCAATGGAACAGAATAGAGAGCCCAGAAATGGACCCTCAACTCTATGGTCAACTCATCTTTGACAAAGCAGGAAAGAATGTCCAATGGAACAAAGACAGTCTCTTCAACAAATGGTGTTGGGAAAATTGGATAGCCACATGCAGAAGAATGAAACTGGACCATTTCTTTACACCACACACAAAAATAGACTCCAAATGGTTGAAAGACCTCAATGTGAGACAGGAGTCCATCAAAATCCTAAAGGAGAACACAGGCAGCAACCTCTTTGACCTCAGCCGAAGCAACTTCTTCCTAGAAACATCGCCAAAGGCAAGGGAAGCAAGGGCAAAAATGAACTATTGGGACTTCATCAAGATAAAAAGCTTTTGCACAGCAAAGGAAACAGTCAACAAAACCAAAAGACAACCAACAGAATGGGAGAAGATATTTGCAAATGACATATCAGATAAAGGGCTAGTATCCAAAATCTATAAAGAACTCATCAAACTCAACACCCAAAGAACAAAGAATCCAATCAAGAAATGGGCAGAAGACATGAACACACATTTTTCCAAAGAAGACATCCAAATGGCCAACAGACACATGAAAAAGTGCTCAATATCACTCGGCATCAGGGAAATCCAAATCAAAACCTCAATGAGATACCATCTCACACCAGTCAGAATGGCTAAAATTAACAAGTCAGGAAACGACAGATGTTGGTGGGGATGTGGAGAAAGGGGAACCCTCCTACACTGTTGGTGGGAATTCAAGCTGGTGCAGCCACTCTGGAAAACTGTATGGAGATTCCTCAAAAAGTTGAAAATAGAGCTACCATATGATCCAGCAATTGCACTACTGGGTATTTACCCCAAAGATACAAATGTAGGGATTCGAAGGGGTATGTGCACCCCAATGTTTATAGCAGCAATGTCCACAATAGCCAAACTGTGGAAAGAGCCAAGATGTCCATCGACAGATGAATGGATAAAGAAGATGTGGTATATATATACAATGGAATATTATGCAGCCATCAAAAGGAATGAGATCTTGCCATTTGCAACGACGTGGATGGAACTGGAGGGTATTATGTTGAGTGAAATAAGTCAAACAGAGAAAGACATGTATCATATGACCTCACTGATATGAGGAATTCTTAATTGCAGGAAGCAAACTGAGGGTTGCTGGAGTGGGGGGTGGGGTGGGAGGGATGGGGTGATTGGGTGATAGACACTGGGGAGGCTATGTGCTCTGGTAAGCGCTGTGAATTTTGCAAGACTGTTGAATCTCAGATCTGTACCTCTGAAACAAATAATGCAATATATGTTAAGAAAAAAAAGAAGAAGAAGAAGGTAGCGGGAGGGGAAGAATGAAGCGGGGGAAATCGGAGGGGTAGACGAACCATGAGAGATGATGGACTCTGAAAAACAAAGAGGGTTCTAGAGGGGAGGGGGGTGGGAGGATGGGTTAGCCTGGTGGTGGGTATTGAGGAGGGCACATTCTGCATGGAGCACTGGGTGTTATGCACAAACAATGAATCATGGAACACTTCATCTAAAACTAATGGTGTAATGTATGGGGATTAACATAAGAATAAAAAAAAAAGTCAATGAATATCAAAAAAAAAATAAGAACAACACTCACAGATACTGGTTTATGTTTTAAAGTAATTGCATCATTTTTTAGTGTCAAAATTAATTTAACTGACCATGTTAGCAGGCATTAGGAATTATTATCGAAATGGCATGTTTTCTATTAATTCAACTGACATGTATGCAAAAAGATGTAAAGATGTTAGATGCAGGCACTTGTTTTCTGAACATATGTTCTAACCAGAATGTAGCCTACAGATGATGTCCCAGTGCTCCTTCTGAAAGCGGTCCCTTCTTCTCTGCCTGTGGAGCCATTACTCGAGTCTGTCTTGAGATGTCATGTCTTCTCTATAGCTTTTCATGATTTCTTTTGTTCTTCTCTGTGTTCTTCTCTTTTAGTCTATATATGAGACTGTTTGGGTACATATTTTTTGTTATAGTTATTTGCTTCTCAGACTGCATTTGGGTGTCCTTCATTGAATTTCTATTATATGTAAATGCATACAGTTTCCTATAAGAAAACAATTCATACTCTTCCGGGATGTCTGCACTAGTTGGTCCAGTTACCTGTTTGATTGTACTTCCTGGTTTATCTGCTACCTAGGAATCACAGCACAGGCCCTGTTTCTGCAAAACAAGGGTATGGACTAGGGATTCCTAAGCTCTCCTATATCTCCACAATAGTGCCATTATATGATTCTAATCCATCACTAGAAATGTATTATGAAATAGTTAATATTTAAGGGATGCTTAGAGAATTTTTAATGAGAAGTAGATACTTGTAGTTAGTGTTAATCCATAGAAGTGTTATTAACCTTTTCTTCTTTTTTTTTGAAAGAATGTACTTTGAAGAATAAATTACAATCTGGTGAGATATTTTCATGGTTTAATAAAATTTAGCTTTTAAAAACAAGCATCAGTAATGTTGACTATAGAAACCAAGAACCTTGCATATAGTTATAATAAAAAGGAGAACAACATCAATGTACAGTTTTCATAATTTTTCAAAATATTTTAAATATGAGAGTAAGTTCTTATTCCTTCAGTTTCTTTGTAAAGGAGGCAAGACAAGTACTCTAAGATCTAGAGAGATTAAGGGCTCATTCATTCCTTAAATGAAAAGGTACCCATTGTACATGGGTACAATGATTGAAGGTACAATGATGAATAATTTACCCTACTTCAAGAGTAGGAGAGACAAATTCATAAACAAATATATTAGTTGATAATATTGTCAATTATGGTAGAAGCATGGAAAATGGTGCACATAACTCTGGAGTGGTGTTTGGTGAGACTCCCCAGAAGAGGTGATTTTTAAAGGATTTTCATTAAAGAATGAGTGGAGATTTGCCAGAAGAAGAGGAATAAGGTGAGGAGAAGGGTCTTGCAGGAAAAAAGAAGGAAAATATGTAGAGATCCAGAGTTATGAAAGAGCCTGGGTATTGGAAGAACAGTGTCAAGTTCAATGCAGCTAGAGCATTTCTGTCCAATATAAATATAAATATGTAAGTTAAAAATTTCAAATTTTATATGGAAACAAACAGGTGAATAATATATTTTATTTAACCTAATACATCTGAAATATTTATTTTTTTCATACTTAACTATGAAGTATTCGATTTTAAAGATTAAATCAGGTCTGTATTTTACACTTAGAAAACATCTCAATTTGGGCTAGCCACAGTATCTAGAAGCTTCCCTAAGATTTTGTGTGTGTGTGTGTGTGTGTGTGTGTTTAAGAGCGAAAGAGAGGAAAAGGGTAAGGGAGAAAGACAGAATGAGAAAAAGAATGAAAACCTTTGTGGGGTGCCTGGGTGGCTCAGTTGGTTAAGCATCAGACTCTTGATTTCAGATCAGGTCATTATCTCAGGGTTCTGAGATCAAGCCTGGTGTTGGGCTCTGTGCTGAGTATGGAGCCTGCTTAAGATTCTCCCTCTCTCCCCGCTCTTGTGCTCTGTCTCCCTTTCTCTCTCAAAACAAAACAAAAACTAAAAAAAGAATGAAAACATTTGTGTGCTCTAGAGGGGGAAATGGAGAGATGGGGCTGTGGTTGTTGTTGGAGCATATTTTGAAAGGCCTTGTATACTGGCTGAATTTGGAATTTATCCCTATAATATAGTAGCTTATGACTGTCATTCTCAAATTATCTTTGGTGAAAGGCCAGTTTTTAAAATTTCAAATTTGTTGCAGACTGATACTTTTGCAAAATAGAATAGCAGTGAATTAGAAAAATGAAATAAAAGAGACATACAAAGAGAAGCACCATTTTTTAATCATTAGATTTGACAAATGTACAATTATTTAGTTAGTTGTTTATAAAGATGTCTAAATTAATGCTATCCAATAGAACTTTTTATGATGATGGAAATGTTATGTCTGTGTTGCCCATTATGGTAGCCACTAGCCACATGTGGGTATTAAGCATTTGAAATGGGGCTAGTATGACTGAAAAACTAAACATTTTATTTAGTTTAAATCAATTTAAATTGAAATAACTACATGAGACTATTGTCTACTTTGTTGCACAGCACTGGATAGGTTTACTCTTAACTTCTGTATCTACTGTAGACTACTGAAAACTAGCTGTGGACTGGCCTTGGTCCTCAGACCTTACTTTAAGTAGCACTGTTTAGAGTATGGACTGTAGAGTGAGAAAGCCTTTGTGTGTCTGTGGCAAGTCACTTAATTCTCTTGCTACTCCAGGATCCTCATTTATAAAACAAAAGTTACTACTTTTTGAAGAAACTAACTCATAGAGTTGTTGTGAGGATTAAATGTGTAGCAGGTGGAATTAGGGAAAGCACCAAGAAAAGATGATATTTGTAGGGGCCTCAATGGATGAGTTCAACAGACAGAGAGGAAAGAGCCTATTAGGTACAGGGAACTCTAAAACCCATTTGGATAATACTCTATTTAGAGGGAGGGGCTGCAGACGGTATGGTTTTAACCCTGTCACTGCTACCACACTGCTAACACTCTCTCTCTTTCCTAGTTGTCTTATTTTAACCTTTTAGCATAGCTTAAACTGGATCACTAGGTAACATGTGATTCTGTGGTTTTAGTAAATACTGCCTATTCAGCCAATCATTGTCTCTTTATACTTCTTCATTCCTGGGAGTTATGGTGCCTGAAGTTGATGGTTGAAGTTGGGCAGTGGTTGAGAAGGGAAGGGGACTCCTGTTTGAAAAGCAGTCCCTGGGTTATGGCAGATAGCTGTGAGATTCTTACCCCTAAAACATGTTTTTTATTTACATAGATTATTTTAGGAAGAAAACCAACTGGAAGAATCAATGAAGTTCCTTCTTTTCATATCTGTTGGTGTTGTTCACCTTTTCTCCCTGAATTCTGGGAAAGCGATCTATAAGAATGACATCTCTCAGAGGACTTTTCAAGAAGTAAAAGAAGAAATAGCCCACTATGGAGATGTTGCTAAAGCAATCATCAACCTTGCTGTGTATGGTATAGCCCAGAACAGATCCTATGAGCGATTGGCACTTCTGGTTGATACTGTTGGACCCAGACCAAGTGGCTCCAGGAGCCTGGAAAACGCCATCCAAATCATGTACCAGAACCTGCAGGAAGATGGGCTGGAGAATGTGCACTTGGAGCCGGTCAAGATACCCCACTGGGAAAGGGGAGAAGAATTTGCTGTGATGCTGGAGCCAAGGATTCACAAGATAGCTATTTTGGGTCTTGGTAGCAGCATTGGGACTCCCCCAGAAGGTATCTTTTGTCTTTTCAAGTCAATTTGCTGTGTACGGTGTTAAACTAGTGTCATGGGACATGGTTGATTACAGTATGCATGATTCATATTATAATTTAGGTGATAAGAAGGATGATAGAATCATTTCTCATTCCATTGGCTTAATGAGTTTTCTACTCTTCTGTTTGTTTTTCTTCCTTTTTCCTTTCCTCCCTTTCTTTCTTCTATTTCTTTCTGAAAGAAAGTTTATTGGGTAGTGTCGCTTTTTAAATGAAGATCTACAACAGTTGATCCATGATATTTATCAGCCCTATCACTTAGTAACTTGTAGCTAGTATAACATTAGTTTCATTTTGTGGAGCATTGAGATAAATGTGTATAGGATGGAAAAACTATAATTTCCTCCAAGCAGCCTCAATGTACAGAAATTTTTAGAATTAATGAAATGGGGAACAGATCTTTACACATGGAATTGATTTGGGTTAATTATTTTTATAGAACCAGAGGCCTCAAATGCAAGGAATTATCCAGGGTGAATTTCTACCTTAACTTATCAGCACCCTAGTTCAGCTTCATCAGACAATATAAATGACTAGATCAGGGATATATAACTGGTCACTAGTGAGCTGTGAATCAGTCTTGGACTATTCATGGACTATTTTCCCATGGACTGTTCATATATTCATGGACTATTTTCCCATGGCAGAGAAACTATTTTATAGAAGCTAATTCTGCATGGAGCACTGAATGTTATGCACAAACAATGAATCATGGAACACACATCAAAAACTAATGATGTAATGTATGGTGATTAACATAACAATAAAAAGTTAAAAAAAAAAAGAAGCTAGTTGACATTCTCTAAAAAGTTTATAGAAAGTTCTGACCTTCTCTAATGCCAAAAGAAAGACCCAGTATAGAAGTAGATGGTCAGTTTTTTTTTTTTAAATCTTTTTTGAGGTATAATTCACATACCATAATATTCACTCATTTAAAATTTACAATTCAGTGGTTTTTAGTATATTCACAGAATTGTGCCTCTACTGCTACGATCTAATTGTAGAACATTTTCATTGCCCTAAAAAGAAACTTCATACTCCTTAGTAATTCCTTTGTATCCCTCCTGTACCTCTCTCTTAAGCCCAAGGCAACCACTAATTTTCTTTCTATCTTTATGGATTTGCCTATTCTAAATATTTCACATGAACAGAATAATATATTGTGTGGTCTTTTGTGACTGGCTTTTTTCATGTAGTGTAATGTTTTCCAGGTTTATCCATGTTGTAGCATGAATCAATACTTAATTCATTTTTATTATTGAATAATATTCCATTTTATGAATTTACCACATTTTATCTATCCATCAGTTGATGGACATTTGTTTTTTCTTATCTTTTGCTATTGTGAATAACACTGCTAAAAACCTTCATGCATAAGTTTTTGTATGGATGTATGTTTTCATTTCTCTTGGGTATATACCAATGAGTGGAATTGCTGGGTCATACAGTAACTCTATGATTAACTTTTTGAGGAATTGCCATACTCTTTTCCAAAGTGACTGTACCACTTTACATTTCTAGGAGTGTATTCCAATTTTTATACATACTTCTCAATATTTGTTATTGTCTGTCCTTTTGGTTATGGCTATCCTGGTGGGTGTGAAGGGATATCTCATTGTGGTTATGATTTCCATTTCCTTAATGATTAATGATGTTGAGCATCTTTCCATGTTCTTATTGGCCAGTTGTGTATCTTCTTTGGAGAAATATTCAAATCCTTTGCCCAATTTTTAATTATGCTATTATTATTGAGTTGTAAAATATCTTTATGTACTCTGGATACAAGTCTCTTATTAGATGTATGATTTATTAATATTCTCTCCCATTCTGTGGATTCTCCTTTCACTTTATTGATGGTAGTATTGCTGCAGAAAAGTTTTTACTTTGATCTAGCACAACCTATTTAAATTTTTTTGTTGTTGCTTGTGCTTTTCGTGTTATATCTAAGAAACCTTTGCCTAAACCAAAACCTTTGCCTAAATCTCTGCCTAAACCTTTGCTTTTCATGTTATATCTAAGAAACCTTTGCCTAAACAAAGATTTATTCCTATAATTTCTTCTAAGAGTTTTATAGTTTTAGCTCTTACAGTTAGATCTGTGAATTAATTTTCATATATGGTCAGGTAATCCAATCTTCATCCTTCTGCATGTGGTCATTCAGTTGTCTCAGCATCATCTATTGAAAAGACTATTCTTTCCTCATTGAATTGGGTGTATTACATTAATGGATTTTCAGGTTTTAAACCAACTTTGCATTCCTGGGATAAATTCCACTTGGTTATAACATAAATTTTTTTTTATATATTTCTGAATTCATTTTGCCACTATTATGTAGAGTAGTTTTACATCTATACTCATAAAGGATATTGTTCTGTACTTTTATTTTGTGTGTGTGTGTGTGATGACTTCATCTGGTTTGGTATCAGGGTACTTCTATACTCAAATAATTGGTTGGAAAGTACTACCTGGTATTTTATTCTTTGGAAGAATTTGTGACAGTTTGGTATTAATTCTTTAAGTTTTTGGTAGAATGCACAAGCTATCTGGTCCTGGGATTTTCTTTGTGGGAAGATTGTTAGTTATTAATTTAATATCTTTCCTTGTTATAGATCTATTCATATTTTCTATTCTCAAGTCAGTTTTAGTAGTTTGTGTCTTTCTAGGAATTTATTCATTTTGCCTAAATTGTGTAGTTTGTTGGCATATGGTTATTTACAGTATTTCCTTATAAGTATTTTTATTTTTGTGAGGACAAGGATCCAAATTACTGTTTGGTGTCACTTGTTTTCAGCCTGAAGAATTCCCTTCATTTTTTTTTTTCAAAGCAGATCTGTTAGCAGAAAATTCTCCAACCTTTCATCCATTCTTACCTATTTATTTAATTTTCATTTTTGAAACATAGTTCTACTGGATATAAGATTCTTGGTTAATAGTTTTTTACTTTCAGCACTTTGAATTTGTCATCCATTGTCCTTTGGTCTCTGCTGCTTCTGATGAGAAGTCCCTTGTTAATATTATTGGGATTCCCTTGTATGTGATGAGTCATTTTGCTCTTACTGATTTTCTTTTTATTTGTGGTTTTCATAATTTTGATTCTGATGTACCTAGGTGTCGATGTCTTTGCTTTTTTCTTGCTTGGAGGTTGTTGAGCTTCATGGATGTATCTAGTGTTTTTTATCAATTTGGGAAGTTTTCAACTGTTATTTCTATGAAGATTTTTCTACCCTTTTTTGCTCTTCTGGGCCTTCCACTGTGAGTATGTGGGTGCAGTTAATGGTGTTCCACATTATTCTGAGGTTCTGCTCATTTTTCTTCCCCCTTTTTCTCTCTGTTCTTTATGTTATATAACCTGTATCAATCTATCATCAAGTTCATGGATTCTTTCTTTTGCTAGTTTAAATGTATGGTTGAGTCCTTTACTGATTTTTTCTTTTCAGTTATTATAATTTTCAGCTCCAGAATTTTTTTCCTGCAATTTTTATCTCTTTATTGGTATTCTTTATTTGCTAAGACATTGTCATCATACTTTTCTTTAATTCTTTAAGTATGGTTTCCTTTAGTTCCTTGAACATATTAATAAAAGCTGCTTTGAAGTCTTTTTCTCATATATCCTACAACTGAGCCCCATCAAAGGCAGTTTCTAAGGCCTGATTTTTATCCTATGTATTGGTCACACTTTTGTATTCCTTTTCATGTCTCATCATTTTTTTTTGTTGAAAACTAAACATTTAAAATAATATATTCTAGCAACTCTCGATACTGATTCTCCCTTTCCCTCTCCTGCCTGCTGAAAGTTGATGTTGTTTTTGTTGTTTGCTTTGCCCTTTATTTGTTTAATGATTTGGTTGTACTAACTCTGTGAAGTCTGTTTCTCTCACAGTGTACAGATTCTAATGTCCCTGTTTAGAGTGCTTTTTTTCCCTCCTTTTTTAACTTTTAGTATGGCTCACTAGGAGTCAGCCCTGGATCCCCATAAACTAATTATTGGTCAAAGGTTGTGCACAGATCTCATTAGTCGGTTATATTTTTCCCCTTTACTGTTAGATGTACACATGGCTAGGGGGCTGTTATTAAAACTTAAAGAGTTTATGTTTTTGCCCCAAGTTCAGCTACAGCCTAGTAACTTGGAAGTTCTTTCTACCATCAACCTTGAGAGGGTACAGCCTAGGGCATGTACATACCCTTCCAACTTGCTAGGATCCAAGTGATTTTATTCTTATCTTGTTTAACAATATTTTCCTCTGTATCAGAATAACTTATTTTTCAGATTGCATTTGGTCAGTTTGTGCGTAAGCCTCTTATGTCAGTGAAGCTTCTGCCCTTTGTTGATGGATCTGTGTGCAGCTTGGGAAGGGTTTTCAATCTGACCTATGTCCTGTTTTAATTGTTCCTGAATAGGAATATGTGCATAGCTTTTCCAGTCACCAGGGTTTACTGTGATCCCAAGAGGGCTTTTCTTGGTTGTTTCTTTTCTTGATTCTTTCTGTTAAACTTTGGATTGCTCTGCCATTTTGCTTGGTACTGGCAGTATCATGAAGCTTCTAGTGCTCCTTTAATTGTCTTCTACCAAGTTCTCCATTGTTTTCAACAACACCCTTAGGCATGGAATTCTCTGTGTTCCACTCCAAATATAGTCACTATCCTGGGTAAGAACTGCAAAGCTCTTCCTTTTGTTTGCTTGCCTCTTTGCTAGGAGAACCTTGCTACTTCCCAGGAACTAGGTCCAGTGATAATGGCCTTTTTCTCCCAGAGTGATATCCTTAGCAGGTGCTAGAAGGGGAGGATGGTAGCTCCTGGTCTTCTCAGCTTGCCTCTCCCAGCGTGGGACCTCTGCCTATGAGTAAGCTGATAGACAGAGGTGATCAGGATCCAAGTACTATTGGTGGCTATACTTAAGGTAGGATTTCTACCATATGAGTTGGGGCTGGGTAGAGGAATAGGGCCTCGGCCTTTTTGGAGTG